AGGGGGACAGAATAAAAGAAGAAGCGGTCCCAAATCCCCAACTTATAATTCCTCCAGTCGAATCGTATTCCCCCCTCAATTATTGGTGATTAAAGGGTCTTTGAGTGCTAGGAGCCAAACCAAATACATGCTCCATTTCCATTTCAGAGCTCGTCGATCATAGAGCGCTCCGTGCATTATACTTTCGTTCAAAGTCCTATTGATCTTGTCTTTCCTTCACCGTGATTGTAGATTGTTTCTATTTCTTACCTCATGTTCTACTCTCTCATCTTGTGCGTGCGCTGTCAGCTTCATTGAAGAAAGATTCTTAGAAAGGTAGCTTTTCTTACCCCTCCAGTTATAGGATCCTAGGAAAGCAATAGTAAGCCATCCATTCTAACATCTGGCGCCGTCCGCCCGCCCAGCTTTTTGGATATCTTTCATACAGGTATCCAATGCCGTTAACGATGTATATAATAGCTGACCAAATACTTCACAGACTTGTCCGACGATACTTCTACGCGTTATATTTTCTGCAGACAAAGAAAATTTTCAATTTGAATTAAAGCTCTTGTACATATCGCAATTCCTCCACGAGAACATTTACAACCTGAACTACCATCCACGAATTCCCCAACCCTCTTTGAGTGTGGTATTCGAAACCAGTGAACCTGCGAATTGCATAACGACAATCTCTCCAAGTAATCAACCATCCCCGATTTTGATATTGCCCACTTTGGCAAACCTACATGCAGGACGGCCACTAGGCCGCAAGGTACCCACATGAGCTTCTGCGAGATCGTAGCTTGCTAAATACACACACAACATCATGAGTAGGAGTCGACGGGGTGCTGGCTCCTTCAGGGCCAATGGCGCAGCTATTCCAGACTCGCTATCCTTGATCCGATCATTCAACATCGAAACCAATCCCGCTCGACCTGTACGACCTTCTCCCCTCACAGCTTCGACAATTCCAGATATGCCACTCGACCTTGTTGATCGCATACGCTCCTTTCCTCTCTTTGTTTCAGCTCCCGATTCCTTCCTTGCAGCTATCGGAAAACATCTTCGTCCTCAGGTCCATTCGCCTCACGATCATGTATTGACTGAAGGAGATGATGCAAAAGCCATGTATTGGTTAGTACGTGGGGCTGTGGCGGTCACATCTCGAGATGGAGAAGCTACATACGCAGAACTAAAGCCTGGTGCTTTCTTTGGCGAGATTGGAATATTAATGGATGTACCCCGGACCGCTACAATTATAGCAAGAACAAAGTGCTTGTTGGTGGTGTTGAAGAAGGAAGATTTGAGAGCTGAGCTTCCAAACTTTCCTGAGATGGAACAAGCGATTATGGAAGAGGCACAGGAACGATTGACAATTTTGAATAAGAAGAGAAGGGAAGGCGGATTTGGCCCAAAACTTGTCTCCACCGAGCTTGTTTCTAGAGGTGGCAAGATCGCACGAGAAGCTGCGCCAGGGGAAGTGTCTACTGGTGAAGTAGGTGTCATTGAGAAGGGAGTGGTCATCAATAAGAAGAAGCGAAAATCCCCAAGTCCAGGCATAATTGAGGATCCTTCAGCTGGCAGTGCGCTGGGCAGTGGACTGGTCAATGTCAGGAGAACACTCAAGGAATTACCTTTATTTTCAACTTTACCGCCAGAAATACTTCACTTTCTTGGGTTGAGCGCCACGCCAAAGGCATACCCACCGTTCACGGATATTATTGTACAAGGTTCAAGTGGCAATGAAATTTACTTTATTGTTAGAGGCGAAGCGGAAGTTATACATGAAAGTTCCAATGGACACGCTGGACTATCGCCTCAAGGCACAAATGGATCATACATCAGACCAAGACTGAAAGCCGGACAATACTTTGGAGAAGTTGTCAGTTTGTCTTTGGCTCCCCGGAGAACAGCTACTGTACGATCAATCACTTCTGTGGAATGTTTGATGATCGGTGGAGAAGTTCTTGAAGAGTTGTGGAGAAGATGTTCGCCAGATATACGGAAACAAGTAGAGCTGACAGCGAAAACTCGAATTGGAAAACCCGAAGACGAAGATGTCATAATGAGTGATGCTGAATCTCCAACTATCAATGATTTAACCATCAATAACAGTCGACCTAAACATCAAAGAAGGAAAACGTTACCACAAGTTACATTTACCCCTTCGAAACCTGCAAGTCCTCATAAACCTATTCATGTTGAGGATAGTGGGGTGATGGAACCTATAGACCCAGATCCATTCCTCAGTGTAGATATGGACAATATGAGGGCGAGATCGCGAAGAGGTTCTTGGGCACCGCCTGCTCCTGAGACGCCACCACCAGATGATAGATCTTCTGGCCCAAGAACCAGATCTAGATCTCAAACACCCACACCTGCAAAATTATCACACGCAATCACTCCCCCAGAATCAGCTTTTCGGCCAAAAAGACCTAAGATTTTCGAGCGACGTCCAAGTCAATTTAGTCAGGGAATATTACCGGACGCAATTTTGATCCACATTTTCTCATATTTAGACATCTATCAATTGATGAGATTACGCCTCGTATCTCTCCATTGGTCAACTCTCCTAAGTACCTCACCAAACGTTTGTCAAAATCTTGATCTATCACTCTACAACCGCAAAATGACCAACAAAGCCCTGATCGAATGCATCTGTCCATTTGTTGGCCGTCGTGCCCGTAGCATCAATATCAGCAACTGTTTCCATATAACTGATGAAGGATTTGCTGCAATTTACTCCCAATGTGGCCCCAATATCCAAGTCTGGAAAATGAAGTCAGCCTGGGACGTAACTGCCAACGCCGTCTTGGAAATGGCCAACAGCGCGAAAGAGCTCGAAGAAATCGACCTTTCTAATTGCCGCAAAGTATCCGATAATCTTCTGGCTCGTATCGTCGGTTGGGTTGTAACCGAGCCGATTGCCCCTCAAGCCTCTCTTCGTCAAAAAGCTGCAACTTTCGTCCCACCGGTTGGGACTGTAGTCGGATGTCCAAAGCTCAAACGTCTTACTTTATCATATTGTAAACATGTTACAGATCGATCGATGGCGCATCTGGCTGTCCATGCACACCAGAGGCTACAGAGCATTGATCTGACGAGATGTACAACGATTACAGATAGTGGATTTCAACATTGGAGCATATATAAATTTGCAAAATTGGAAAAGTTAATTTTGGCGGATTGTACTTATTTGACGGATAATGCTATTGTTTATTTGACGAATGCGGCAAAGGGGTTAAAGGAATTAGATTTGGTATGTTGAGCTTTTGCGACTCTCTGTAGTAATCCCACTAATAGTCATATCTAGTCATTCTGTTGCGCCCTCTCGGACACCGCAACCGAAGTTCTGAGTCTCGGTTGTCCCCAACTCCAATCCCTCAAACTCTCATTTTGCGGCTCGGCAGTCTCAGATTCATCGCTTCGATCTATCGGTCTCCATCTTCTCGAACTCAAGGAGCTTTCTGTAAGAGGGTGTGTGAGAGTTACGGGGGTAGGGGTAGAAGCTGTTGTAGAAGGTTGTAGTAAGTTGGAGATCTTTGACGTTAGTCAGTGTAAGAATTTAAAGGGGTGGCTGGATGCAGGAGGAATCGACAGATGGAAGTCGAGATGGAGTCAGAGTGGCAGGAGGGAGACTGTAGGGAGGAGAGGTTTGAGGGGGGCAGTAATGCCTAGAAATCTAAGTGTACGGAAGGGAAGGGGAGATTTGGTCTTTTGGATTGAAAAGAGGAGTGGACCAGGCGTCGGCTTACGATGATGGATTTTGACGAGAAAGGGTTTAACAGAACATGGAGAAAAGGAAAGAGTGGGAATTTTCATCGATGTCGATTTTTATATGCATACTCTCGAGAATATGACATATTTGCATGCATGGACGGAGTTTTTTATTCAGTTTACCCACATGAATCGCTTGTTAGGACAAATCCAAAGGTCACTTTTTTGGTCGGAACGAACGCGCTCTTTTTTTTTGATGGTGGTGGTGGTGTATGTATGTTGGTTTATTGGTTTGTTTGCACATTTGTATGTATGTATGTATCGATGAATGAACGGATTGGCGCGGTTTTTAGATTTTTTTTTACTTTTTTGTGTTTTGTGTTTCTTGTATGGATGGATGGACGGATGGATGGGTGTATGGATGTATAGATGTATGTACAACGTTGCGGAAACGGAAACGGAAATCGTAGGTTGTGGATTAGGAGTTGGATGGCCAGGGAAAGATGGGTTGGCGTGGATTAGCACGGATGAGAAGGGGGAGGAAGGGAAGAGCGGGTTTGTACTTGATATTATCGAGTCTATATCTGATGTGATATCATCGGATCTGATCTTTTTGTGTAAGATGAAAGGAAATGAGAGGAAATGAGATGACATGAAATGATATATGATTTGACAATTGATGAGAGAGATGAATTGAGGTGAATTGAATTGAGATGAGATGATATGAGATGAGATGAGATGAGATGTTAGATCCGTATAAGCAAATGAATAGATGAGAGCATATCTAGGTAGGCGTGTATAGAATTTCCCCATCTATATCTATATCTATATCTATATCTACATCTACATCTACATCTACCTAAATACCTACCTAAATACCTACCTCCAACTAATCTCGCATTGTTTATTAGATACCCGGGCCTAGGTAGGTAGGTAGCCAGGTATGCATAATATATGACCGACTGACTGACTGACTGGCTGGCCGGGTATGGAATGAGTTACTTTGGAATTTTGCGGTGGCTTTGGATTTTTTGATTTTTTTTTTTGGATGGATAACCTTAGGATGTGATGTGTATAATGAATCGGTATGGTATATGGTATTACCGAGAGAGAGAGAAGGGGGGGGATACGATGGGATTTCTGTGCAGTTGGGTAGATAGGTAGGTAAGGTAGGTAAGGTAGTCAGTTGAAAGTGCTGAATCAATCTATGTAGTAAGGGTAGAAGTATCTATCTATCAATGATCTACTCAGAGCACTTTAATCTATCAAATCACTTCGTTTTGTCAGAGATAGAATAAGAATAAATGATTAACTGGATATGGGTATTTTACTATTTTACTATTTTAACATTTGTTTTGTTTTATTAATATATGTTAATGGCACACGCATCAAGTGCGCATGTTCAAAGGAGAGGAGAAGCGTGTATGGCAGAAAGGTCCGCAGACTTTCGTAACTATCATCCAATCTCGAAGAAGAAAGCTGTTTTGTGTGACAACACCCGTTTGCTTTACCATGTAGTCCCACGGTGTTATTTCTTCATTCCAACCCCCCTTGCCCCAACCTCTCATATTGTACAACTCTTTCTCCTCTACTTCCTCCTGTTTTGCTGCATCATCAGAATCTGGACCATTCTAATGAAGATATTCAGGAAATCTAATTCCAATGAAATACTCTCATTAACCGCATCTCTCCTCATCATTCCTCTCTCGGCCATTCTAGCATGTGCCAAAATCTTCTGTACATCATAGAGTGTGAAGCCACCAAAGACAGCCAAACCTCCCCACAACCAGATATTTTCGGTAAAAGCCAATGTTCTGACTGCGGTAGCTGGGAGAACCAATGGAGCCAATCCGGAAACAGCGACGAGAGCGACACCAGCCAAGAGAGGTCCACCGAGGTAGAGATATTTTTCTTGTTTGGCGGTTGCGCCGACGAAGGAAATACTACCCATCATGGCGACAGTGTAAAGACCAGCGCGGGCAATGATGGCAGGAGGAGCCATGAAGAGGAGGGGTGCGATGAATGCAGCTTGGGTTACGTTGAAACCGGTCCAGAGTGCGTATTTTTGAACATAGCTTTTACATGTTAGCTTTCTGTATCCACCCAAATACATATCGCATAATTCTAAATATCAACACCGAATGAGGGGTAACACTCACTTGCTGGGATCTGTAGCTCTAGTGCCCATCATAGTACCAATACTGAGTGCAATACCACCGATCATGACAACCCAAGGATTGGTCGCCATCAATCTGTAAGTAAAGCCACTTTGGAACATGGCGCGCGCAGATAATCCGATGATTCCAATTCCCATTCCAGTGTGCATAAAGGTATCGTTTAAGTAGCTGCGTTCGTATTCGGGCATGCCGCCATCTTCACGAGTTTCGCGGTTGAAGACCTGTGATTTGTTAGTATTCTTTACTTATATGAAGATGAAAGAGATGGCGAATATGGAGAAGGAGTAGGTAAAAAGGTGTCATACCATATTGATCGCAAACAAAGTTCCTCCAAACATCGCACCACCGACCAACAATTTCTGCATCAGCGTTCCATTTGGATTCGCAACAGTCGCCGGTGGCTGCAAGTAAGTTCTCGAGCCCTTGATTGCATTTCTAGCTTTTACCAGTGTGCTGACTGGCGATGTGGTGCGTGATGTGAAAAAACTGGTTGTAGGTTTGCTGGAATGAAAAGCTCGCGCGGGGGCGGATCTAAAGGCGGTTTTGGAAGCGATAGCCAGCGAACTGGTTAATTTGAATGGTTGGCGCATGGTAAAGGCCATTATTGTGATATAATTTGATCAAGATCGATTGTGATGGATGATAAATGGTTGTAGAATGCAAAGGTTGTGTTGAGGTTTTGTTATTTATGGATGGCGAAGTTATTTAGGTGTGGTGGTGGTTATGACGTTCCGGAGTTTGGGGACGGAGAAAAGAGGGATCTGGTGGATGAGTAAAGAAAGAAAGAAAGAAAGCTCTGGAAGCGAGGACGGGGGAATAAATATTCTACGCCGTTGACGCCGCTATCAATTTATGGATTCAAGAAAATAAAGAATCAACTTGTAATAACAACTTAAAATTACTTGTGAATGTTGGTATCATGGTCTTTTCATCCTTTCATCCTTTCCAATGCATACTGTCGAGCAATTTATGAATTGGCCATCCATATTCCTAGGATTTCCAATCCTGGGGTAAATACTACCAGAGGTAGATGATGCTTTTTTTGCTACCTCGATCAAGTATCCCGTCTTACCTAGTCGTCCCAGAACAAAGATATGCAGAATGTATTACTACGTCTCTCAATTTTCTGATCTACCCTTTGCCAGTGTTCAGTGCCAAAAGATCCAGAACTTTACTTCGAGGCCGTGATTTTGGTCCAAGGGTATATATGATTGAGCTATATTTGCGATACTTATTGACATTTAGGGAACTCGATGTTGAAGCTTCAAGAGAGCACACATCGGCATGGCAGTTAGCTACCAAAGACTGGCTAAGGCGCCGTAGAAAAAGCAAGGGAGCGCAAATGGTCGGCCAATCGAATCATCTTTATTTGATCATACTTTTGATGACTGACAGCTTTACGAAATCGTCCCAGTTACTTCTGGTCATTAGTTGATCAACCAGGCATGGAGGCAATAGACAATGTCCCATCAGAAGGAATATGTACTTCTCCATACAAGCCACTGCTTGAGCCTGATGGGATTCGACTTCTTCTCGAGCCCGGAGCAACGGCTGAGTTACAATGCAGTCTCGTCCATACCATATTGATTGATTGTTACTCGGACATGGCGAATCACTTCATCGCACTATCTTATAGATGAGGCAATGCGAACATATCGGACTTTAGCCCGAGTCGATAATTATTCATCTTCAGTCGCAGCAAATCTTTGCAATGCACTTTACCATATTCGCCATTCGGCCGGGGCACTTGGATTATGGTCAGATGCTTGTTTCTTTCTCAGAGGCTCAAAGATATACCGAGTGTTGTATTGTCATGTAATGAAACTACGAATGATTTATGCGGATATTGTATGCTTTGAAGCTTCGTTGCGTTGACACAGAGTTCTGTTATCTAGTTTATCATGCTCCGCAATGGCTCTACCCTTTCGTTCTATTCTCACATCTCTGTCTGCAATAAAGTCAAATAATTCCCCTCTACTTTGATGGTACAAGTTTGCAAAACAAAGGCACTTCCTTCACTGCTGGGTACTGTTAAAATACAAGCTACTATCTTGACTTTGGTCGCATAATACAAACTGCTGTAACCCGATTGTTTCATAGATCATTGTTACATACTTGGTGATTACGATGAATCTATGTGCCGCTGAGTGAACATGGAATCAATGACTCTAATGGGAACGTTATACTTTTTGGGGCTATTGGGCTAGCTCTCCCGTTGACCCTTGATTCTCGTGATCTTTCCCAAGACATACTTCCCTTGCTCAACTACCCCTCCTCATATCAGATGTTTGATAACATTTAGCTGAAGCCTACAACGGAAGTTTATATTATTATTGAAGCTTTGCTTCTTCTCGTATAGAGTTTCTCATCTCAATAACTAGCTAATAAGCCTTTCAAGACTTCACCTGGCTTTATTTTAGTAATCCAATAATGTTGTTATGGAAGTTTAAACGCCTGGATGAGAATAATCACCAACTGTCAAATATTATGTTTTTATAAAATTGTAATAAGAATTCGTAATTCGATTAATAATCCAAGATTGAGTGAGTATATGTATAGATAGAACTCCTTCATTTTTGATGGATAAGCGAATTGCTTCATTTTCCCCTTTACAATCGAATTGAAATTACAATTTCCCTCTTTCTAAGCTGTCCTTAATGTTAATCAGTCAATTATTATCCTTCAAATGATTTCGACTCGAAAACGTGATGTGCCCGTTCATTTTTGTCAAGCAGTTGAGCAGATTCATAAGCCAATAAATAATAAACAGATTTCAATTTGTATAACTGATGAGTAGGACTCGAAACATACTCTAAAACAACTTGCAAAAAAGAAGTCCCCACTATAATTTCTCTTGTCAAAATGTTATACAGTATGTGTACGATACGTATGTACATGGGTATTATACACTGAAAAACTCCCACTCAAAAAAATGCAAAATAAAGGGCTAATCCGGGATCGAACCGGAGACCTTTGCTGGATTGACGAAATGCTTAGCAATTACACTGGATTAGTTAGCAATCTGATCTTCTTCAAAAAGTCCAAAAAGTTCCAAAAGGACATTATTCAAAGTCTCGAGAAAAAGAAAACTTACTGGGAAAGATTTCTCACTACAAATACTGATACTAGACTTTGTTATCAATCTAATAACAAAATAGAATACAAAAGAAAAACTAAGCACTTGAATATATTGATATTGGCGAGAATTATACATACTGCACTAAACAACCTTCATACTATTTTGGTCCCATATGATCCATCAGATACTAATATGATCTTTGAAAAAGCTCGCCAATTACACTATGAGATTCAAAAGATTTCGAGAAGGGCAAATGCTCTAGTTCCAATGAACAATATAACCAGTAAATCAAATGAAATTCGCAATCAGAACGGCAACCTCTTAACGGACAAAAGTGAACATTCCAACAAGGACAAGGAAATGCCCAACGTTGAGGACGAGGACAAGGAAATGCCCGACAACAAGGGTCAGAGTGGACAGTATTCGTACATGGGAAAGTACTGGGAAGGCCTAAACTCAAATAAGGAAAAATCCATATAGAATAAAGAAAGAAAAAAGGATCTCGAAATAGTAAATAGATTATTATCAAGAAACCAGCAAAGTATACACATTCCGATAAATATTTGACAATTCCAGATATCATCAACCAGGAGACTATTGGAAAACACAGAAGAATTGCATAGCAAGCAAAACGAGGTTCAAATTCAAAGAATCCTCACTTGCCGCCCTTATTAGCATCGGAAATGCAGGGAATATGGCCTGCGCCTCGTTTTATACCTTCAGCCTTTCCATTTTCATTAAATATACCATATGAATTTATGAATTCATCATGTGATAGATTAAAGCTTAGGCCATTCCCACCAATTTTTATAAGGGCATTAGGAAAATTAGGACCATATGCTCTTATATAAAGGAATGCCCATTTAAGTCAATTTCATCATATAAATTTTTGGGAATTCTAAAAAATATGCCCGTATAAAGGGGATGCCCGTATATCACGTGCCCGTATAGCCAGGTTCATCTGTATGTAGGTATGTACATGAGTATGTATGTACACTGGATCTCAAAATTCTCGAAACTCCCACTCAAAAAAATGCAAAATAAAGGGCCTAATCCGGGATCGAACCGGAGACCTCTTACATCATTGAATTTGATAACCCAAAGCAAGAATTCTACCACTGAACTATCAGGCCTGATCATGTACGAGCCATATTGGCTGATTTTGATGATGGTGTGGACTTGTCTCACACTATATATGTAATTGTCAATGCCAGTGTGGGGTGTTCTTCCTTACAAATCATGGTGCTGCTTTAGATGTGGGGTGAACAATAGCATAGCGGCGAGTGAATTTACATGGAGGGGAGAGAAGAAAACTATCGAATGGGACATTCTGATAGATACCCAGGTACTTGTGTAAATATCCAAAATATCCATAGAAATTGAACAAGACTAAAATCTCGAATCTCTTGATCCAACAACAGCCAACTAAAGACTTCTATCTGGATAAGAAAATCCTGGAACAAAATCCCTGATGTCTTCTCACGCCCTTTGACCCTTGGTTGGAGACTACTTGTCATCATCGTATTTCCTCGGATATCAGAATATGGTCTAACAGTTGGCTTCGCGGAAATCTTATAAGAATGGATACTTTTATCGACCCTTTCAATTCTGCAATATTTTATTAGATATTCAAGATGACTTTAATCAACCCCACCAACGCCTCAAAACCTCAAATTGTGCTAATCCCTTGGGATCCCACCTCTCCTGAACATGTTGATCGACTGGTACAACAACGCATCGCTTGCGGATGGGATTCTGAATGCGTTGAATCATGGAGGGAAGTCCAAGAAAGCGGAAAGCTCAATAATCAATGGATTGTAAATATTCCTCCCCAAATCGATTTCATTTTCCGAGTTCTAAATTATCCAGGTGCTTGCGGATTCTGATCCCGAAAAGGATGCCAAAATACTCAAACATTCTGAGATGTATCCCCAAGAGAAAGAGCCTCTAGTTGACTCTGCTACCTCCTTTGGAGGTAAAATTCGGGATATCCCCTCACCGCAGAGAACTTTTATTCCAGTTGGACATATCTGCTTAGGTCCTCCATCCGAAAATTATTTGAATCTCGGATATGTTCCCAGAACAGAAGGGTTCTACTGGATATCCATTTTTTACGTCTCGCGAGCTCTTCAAGGAACGGGGCTAGGAAAGACAGCCATGGATATGATCGAGAATATAGCCATCTCTGAACCATTGTGTGCCAAGACTCTGGGTTTGAATTCGATTAATAAAGTCGACCCAGAAAGAGAAGAAAAGTATAAAGCTCTTGACTTGGTCATTCCTCCGGTAAATATGTCTGAATGAATTGCGGAGATGAGATATTTGCATTGTTCTAACCTTCACCTAGTTTTCCAACCAAGATTGGTATGAAAGAAGAGGTTACAAAGTTTACAAAAATGTGGAAAAACTCTTTGGCCCAATGGTTGATCCAACAGGAAAACCCTGGTATTGGAATGCTGTGTTTTTAAAGAAGGAGATTTCCCATTAGATTGAGATTCGACCAAAGAGGCAGAAGATACTGCCAGCTTGGATCCCGCAGGACGAAACCCTGGGACACACAAAATCTACTATGCTTCAAATATACATACATAGGTATATATATCCTATATCATGTATCATATACTTGAATACAAATTTATATCAAATAAAGTATGAAGATATAAATGTTCCCAAAGTATGACTTTATTTGAGTGATTTGGTGTGTCGCTTTATTCGTCCAAATAGAGCTTTGGTCAGCATGTATTATCTGCGCAGAGTAGATGGGTTATATGCATAGCCATCTCATGTTATAAATCTTGCATCTTGCAACTTCAAGCATTGCAATCATCTTTGAAAAATGGATTTAGAGACATCTATCAACAGAAATTCTCACCTCAAAGACTCCGGATTCTCGAACCTGTTAGAAATGTATAACAATACCTAGGTATCTATGGTTATAAAGACCTTGAAATGTCTGGTTCTGTTCGTATTATACTCCTCCATCCTGAACACGCTACCTCGGATATATGCTGCAGCGTCATACACACCACTTCCATGGAAGACACATGGATATCTCCAACTAGGGCAAGAGAAGACCTATGAATGGAAAGGAAGGGATGGAAAGCTGTTATGGAATCAAATGGATGGAATTACAAATCCAATTTGTTAGTACCGAACAAGTCTCGATTTAGTTGCGGTGAGAGGTTCCGAGTCTTGTAAACGAACCATAGGCAGTGTTCAAGCTACTTTTGGATCCAGCTTACTTAAAACATCTGTCACTTTCCGCTAACAACTCAAAAGTTTTCAAAACATAATGTTTTATTTCTATGAAACTCCTTCAACTCCCGAGTCCCCTGAATCCTTTTCAATCTATCCTCCTAGTCTGTGATCTCATACACAACGATTTGTACAAGTATGTGCCCTGCGATCTCTATTCCAAGGTCCCATCTAAACATACAACCCACCAAAAGAAATGAAAATCACGATCCTGTTCCCCATCCACAACCAAGCCACATGCTCATCCAAACAACCCCAAGATATCTTCAACACATCTTCCCATCCAATCAAGCCGTGATGGAAATAATTCCAGTCGAGGTCTCGAAAACACAAGTAATCGAGCTCCATAAGTACCAATTATCAGTATAACTCTGCCACTGGGCAGCCATTTCTTCGAGACAGCCTGCCACGGTGTCGACGTCCTCACCAGATCCAATAATCGCAATGCACATGTGACCTTGTACACTACCTTTTACACATCCGCCGCCGTTAGTGAGGATGTTGTCTACTTGGGCGGAGGGAACACGGACGTCAGTCCAGAGACCGGGGTCGTTGTTGTGAGCGCAGATGCTGCTACAAGTGCTACTGTCTGCGATAGAGAGGCCGGAGAAGAATCCGGAGAGCAAAATGGAGATGGTGGGGGTGGTGAATCTCATATTGATGGTTTTGGTGGTGTGTTAGATGGTGTTTCGAAGATATAGTATTATTGTAGTTGTACGGTTGTGGATTTGAGGCTTGCCGACAGAGGACGAGATAGAGCTTGAGGTTGAGTTTTGAAATAGTTTTTAGTTTATTAAAAGATATTGAAAGTTGAGCTGATGATGGAGCAATCTTCAAAGTATTTCTCCTCCTATATATGTTCTTTTCGACCCATACTGATCGCGAGCAACGTGAAGACCGAGATAATTTTTACAGCTTATCCAACCCCAGCCTCACAGTGTAACCAATTCGAATAAAGATGCATCTAAACATAGTATTACCTCGTCGGCGCGTACATGTCGTTCGTAGGGCCTCGGATATGTCCTTAACAGCAGCAGATGGATTCGGATCCTTCTGAGATATATATGAAAGGGTCCGAGATTCGGGGCCCATTTCTCATTATGCTCAGGGGAAAATTGGTCAATTTAAAGTTACCCTCTGAATTATGCTTAAACGCCACTCTTTCCACGGATAGCTGCAACCACATTCATCGCCTTACAATTCAACGTCAGGATTGCACGAGTGACTCCAACATCTCGCGCTTGTACTTGTGAGCGCTTATCTCAATTAAATGTTAGAGTCGAAGAACTACAGTACGTACTTGAAAGGATGCAACATACTTTTCTTGATAGTTTCATAAACAAATTATTTCTGGGCATGGAACTATACAACTATACAACTTTATTGCCATTGGACATATATCTCGACTAGAAAACTTGGGGGTAAGGAGTAGCATGTGCATGGCATGTGACTGAAGTGTGCACTACCAAGACCAGTATAGTAACGCAGGTGAAGAGTATGGCAGTATATAGACTGTTAATGAGTCCCGAGCTAGTTTTTGCAAGCGGGTCGCTCCTTATTTGGCCTCTACCCCTCGTACCAGATATTGGCACGTTTGTAGAATTTGCTTACCACGTGCAATGATTGCAGGGTCGAACACACAGAGAATATGTTATATTGATGGAATTTGTCTTACAAACCTATTAGGAAACGAGTCCTTCTGGATTCTATGATCCATCTTGGATCTGGGAATGATTAGAGTTTACAGAGTTCCTATCGGAAAACTGACTCAAAGCACTAGCTTTGTATTTGACACTGCCATATGTTGGCTATGTTTGACATATCTTTTAAGAGAATTGCTAAGGACCAAAGATAAGGGGAGAACACGATGTTATTAATGCCATTTACTTGCTTTGTTTGTATCTGTCATAACTGCGGTCCCGCAACCCAGATGGAAGATTGAGTCCTGACATTGCAACAACATTGTGGACTGCACAAGATGGGATAGAATCGGCATACATTAAGCAAATTGCAAGGCCTCATGTTGGAACATCAAAGAGGTCCTATAGTTCCAAGAGTGAAGAAATATTGTACTGCATTTCTAGAAAATAAAACAGTTATACAATGCTGCAGTTATTAAGATTAATTATAACAATGATGTCCAAGCACCAACCCCCCAAAATACAGCTTTCTACCCCTTAAAACGCGACACCACTTTTTGCAGCGCCTGGATAAGTATCCTGAAGTCCTTCAAACAATGATTTTCCATCCATACTTAAATCAGCAAAGGCTGGGCACCCAACAAGATCTAAGATTGATGTTTCAAGAGCATCGGTCAATAATTGCAAGGGTACAGCAATTGTAGCAAACAAAGGCGAAAGAGAATTGGGCCCGAATGTCTTGACGACTTCAAGGGCAAAGCACATCAAATTATTGCCCTCCAAAAGAGTCTCGACATTGAGAATGCCACCGGTGACATTACTGATATCAAGACCAGTGAAAGTGTTTACTTTACCGGTATTGCCTCCAACACTTGCTAGTGTTGGGTTTGCTACCATCCAAGCAACAATATCTAGGTTGAGTTGTACTAATCCGTAGTCGACAGGGATGCGGTACCAATTGGAGGGTATTTGCTCGCAGCCTTTCTTGTATACATATGTTCCATTCTCGGAGTAGACGCCGAACATAGTGCGCATTAATCCATGAGTCATAATTCCGTCCGGATTCTCGGTCGTGTGGTTACTCAAAAGGCGACCAGAGAATGCATATCCAGCATTTCGTGCAATCATGCCGGTGTAGGGTCCGTAGTAAAAATAAGGGTTGGTAGCTATGCTGACTTCGAGACGTTCGGCGGCGCGTTTTCCAATATCTTCCATTGTGATGACTTCAGAATCGGATCCATTGGCGATTTGTAAGAATAGAGTCATGTTCATGGTCGATGCGTCTCCTGTCACATACAAGTCGTCTCGGGTATTCGAGGAATCTGCTTCGATCCAATTGTGGGAGTTGTCAAGACCACGAGGTGTTCCCAAAAGACCATCAAGATTGTCGAGAATGTTAGAGACTTTCGGAGTATAGCCTCCAATCGAAAACCCGGGGTTTAATGAGATAGGGTCGCCGACACCGACCGTTCCCATTATAGCCAGGACGGTGATGAGCTCGATTCCCATTCCGAATACGGAATTTACACCAGCAATAATTTCTACCATTGAAGCGACACCATTATGAGGAATGTAGTTATGGTTTGCGAGCATATTCAATCCTGGACATGGACCTCGCTGGTCCCCATTGTCGAAGTCGGGTGGAACAAATACATGGTCTCCGGTGACTATCTTACTGTTAGTGATATTCAAGTCGAAATCTAGGTCTGCAGTTTTACCATCGATGGGAGTGGTCAAAGAATCAACCAACAATCTTTTTTTGACTTCCGGATGATTCTCAACTTGTCTCTTCAAATTCTGGTACCAGCTGTTTCCCGGGGCTCTCTCAAAAGATTTCGGCGATGCATTGAGAGTTGGAAATGCCAGGGCATTCGTACACAAAAGTGGGAAGTAAAGAACGGACGACGAAAACTTCATCTTCGAATGTTAAAGGAGTGACTGTGAAGTGGAACGATTGACACGACGAAATGTAACAAACCTTTTTACAATTGAATGTTAGATGGGGGACTCATGACATATCATGAAATAGGATATTTTCCACTGGCTAGTCACATCATTCGAAACTTCGAATAGCTAGCCTAACCCGGAGGATAAAACGGGGAAACAAGGGTGTGTGTACGCGGATATCCATTATATTCTACTTGGAAGTTGTAGTCGAGCAAGAGTGGAAATCCAAATTGCTCAAATACTCCTCACGGCTTTGGTGAGACACATGAGCGGTATTTGGATCGACAACAGACTTTGAAGTGATCGGCAGTGCCTTCATTGACAAGCATTAGGTCAACAAGCATAGGGCCTAGGTAACTCTAGTAGGTAATCTTTCCGTCAGGGAGCAAATCTTATAAGATTGATCTCGCAGATAGGGAAGTTAGGGGCAGTATACCCCAGTATCTTTAACTGCTTCAGTCTTGGAGGTCGAGGATATTCATTACTTGGGTACGTATACTCGATCAATTGGAATGATTGAGAAATATGGTACACTGGTGACCCATTGCGTTGGATGTAACATTGCTTAGGTAGGTAGGTTTGCAATTTTGGGTGTAGCTATAGTAAAATGTGTCCAAGATAACCAGTAAAATCATGTGACTGTCACCTAGCGCCGATAAACTCACACCCCAATGATCATAAACACTCCTTATTTACTTTGGAAGCACCAATGAACTTGACTCCATATTACTCCTTTTCTTGAATTCTTCACCTCACATGTTTGGTAAGATACTGATATACTTCAATCTCAACGACTAACGTACGGCAGCTGACAGCCGTGGAAAATTTTATCTACTCCCGACCTCCTACTCACTCCCTACGCAACTTTAGTAAACAATTGGACGATACCTTCCTTGTCTAGCATCAACCTCTCTAAAGGCTTGTGCTTCCACCAACATGGCTGAGCAATGAGCATGGCACAAACCCCGGGAAAACTTTTCACACCCATTCTCTCAAGAGCCGAGTTCAGTCCAAGATCGTATGGAATAGATGTAAATCCAACGGTCAAAGCAGCCCAACCATGTCGATTCCAATTGGAAGCATACACCTGAGTTTGACCGAAAGTCTAAACTCTATATCGGTAGATCATGGTACGATGGAAAGAAAGAATCGTTTTCCCAAACGTTTTCAGTTCCTCTATTTGAATTTCGGAGAATTATCGATACACACGAAGTACAGCCCCATTAGAACATTTTGATAGCTCGAATGTTTCGTAATATTCTGTCGCAATTCGACGTCCCCGATTGTGATAGACAATCATCTATGGAGTAGGGTGGTTCAAGCTTCTCGAAATATGCCGCACCACTGTTGGGTCAAATGCCTACTCTTCGTTGGCTGGATGAGCACTGTACTTGCTCGATTGGTAAAATTCCCAAGACAGTATCTTGCCAAGAAGCATGGATAGAATCCCCTCAAGGGGTTGACACGAGACTACGGATACAGTTATCCAAAACCCACTCACTTACCATGTCGGGGATTCTAACAGGCAAGGGATATGACGGCCACGGCCGTTGACTAGAAGCAGAACAAATTATGGGGCTGATCAACGACAAACTTTGACATCAGTATTCGTTCCACTTTGCTGGCAAATTCCAACTTCAAGGTTGTTGGAGCATGGCATACTGTTTAATATTCGCAGGGTTATAGTACACGCACTTATACATGATCAGATTCTCCCAAGTCTACGATAGCGTTCGTTGTAGTTTTGTTTGACTTTTTGAATTCCTTCTTTTAATTTCGTACTTTACTGTCGTTAATACTATCGTTAATATTTATACGAACCAAGGTACTAAGGAGTCATCATGAAGTTGTCGCTCAATATTATGGCTGTCATGGCCAGTTTGACCATGATTTGCACAGCACAGTCCTCGTTAATCCCCAGGGGTTCATCCGCCGCTCTTTTAGCGGCCGCAGAAGCATCATATCCGACTTGCTCGGTAAGTTTCGTTGAGTACCTTGTTCTTGCTGGCTCCTCTGACGGCCGCCTCTAGCTAAAATGTATGGCAAAAGCTATTCCTACGTCTGGATGTGATGCGACAGATGTGGTGTGTCTTTGCACAAACGCTGAATTACAAGAGAGCATCACACTCTGCGCGATGCAAAGCTGTACTGTTTTTGAACTTTTAAGTAAGTTAGATTTGTCGGAATGATGAAGAAAGCCCCTGCACCGAGCTGTCTCTAACCTTTTAAAGCTACCAAAAATGTTACCGAGACCATGTGTAGCGCACCGGTACGGGACAGGAGGAAAGACGGCGAGTATATTGGTGTTATTGGAGGTTGTGTTGCCTTGCTAGCCTTCTTTGGACGGTTGCTGGCTACCGTTCTGAAAGTAAGGCAATGGGGTATGGATGACTGGGCAATGTGTGCTGTTGTGGTTAGTCGACAGCTTTCAACCTCAAACGTGCGACCTCAGCTAATGGAGTCCAGGCTTTGGCGACTCCTCCAACTGTTTTCTCTGTCATCTGTAAGTAATATTCATGAGCTCAAGTTATCATACTAATACAAATCACAGTGGCCAACAATGGTCTCGGAAAAGATATGTGGACATTGACAGCTGATGAAATCACAACTGTTTTATTTGTTTGTACACTTGATTCTGAATTCATTAGCTAAGAGCTAACGTGAATCAGTACTATGTTCTCGGCGAATGTTTCTATCTTGCCGCAATGGCCATGACTAAAGTTACATTCTGCCTTCTTTTTCTTCGAGTATTTCGCGAGAAGCCCTTCATCTATTATGTTTGGGGCACACTCGGACTTTCTGTTGCCTATGGTGTTAGCTTTGTGGCAGCAACAATCTTCCAATGCTGGCCGGTTAGCTATGGATGGCATCAATGGGATGGCTTGCACACCGGAACTTGTAACAACATCCATCTCCAAGGATGGCTAAGTTCTATTATCAACATCGTTTTGGATATTATAGTTATTGGCCTGCCATTGAAAAAACTTTCTCAACTGGTCATGTCTCCAACCAAAAAAATAACTATTATGTTTATGTTCTGTAAGTTTGAATCTGCCTCCCACTTCGTAGTGCTTTACTAACAGACCCTTGAAGCTTTAGGACTATTGTAGGACTTCCTTCAATTATTTCGTATTTCTTGTTTGCTAATTGTGTACAGCGTTACTGCAGTAAGCATCATACGTCTTCAATCACTCATTCAATTTGCCAACACAACAAATATAACCTGTAAGTTTAACACTAGTTTTCTGGATTATCTTTACTGAATGTCAGTTTAGGGGACTACAGTCCAGCGGCATATTGGAGTACTCTCGAAATGCACGTTGGCATATTCTGCGGGTGCTTGCCAGCATTACGACCTCTACTGAATATGATAATGCCAAAATTACAGACAACTGCCGCAGTGAGCACTCAAAGAACTGCGGGGACAACTGGCAAGAGATCATTCATGAGCTCTAAAGCTTCAGCGCCGAAGAGGACCGAGAAGGGTGACTTCATTCCACTTGATGATGTCGATGCTTCGAGCACAAAGTTCTTGACCAGTCCTCATTGCAACGCTGTCTAAAGGGATTCCATTCATGGATTTTTTGTTAAAGAAGGTTGGGGAGTTTATTTATGAAACGCCGGCGTGCATTATGAGATAAATATTCCAGAATTGTTTTCCTTCGAAATTTGTTTTAATTCACAAGCGTTTGAACTGGGTCTGAGACTCTCCGAAGGACGCAAACGTAACGTACATATCTAATTATATCCCACAGCACGAGATCTGATTCGACAACAGTACCTCAATATTTTAAATCTCTTCATCTGGGGCTGGATTTTTCTTCGTCGTTTTAAATAGACAGTCTTGGCCAAACCTTCTTGGCAGATGAGCCTCACCATTGCTGAGGCTCTACATATATTCATCTTTGATTTGTCAATCTTTTTTCATCAAGGTACTAATGTGCACCACACCGCTAACTCTGACATCACACTTATATCCCGACACTAAACCCCCTGCGCTAGCAGAATTCGCTTACTCCGTAGACCTATTCTCGACCCCCACTCCCCCATAAAGAAGCTTTGACAACCGTTGAGCTGTCAAAGAGGAATATCGGCAGCGATTGCCAGGCATTTTGCCAAAAAGGGACTTTTAGTAATTACGGCTATAATTCGCATTTATATCCAAGATGAACGAGCACATCATTACTCTAATCATTGAGGTCGAAAATTGAAGAGTCTGGGGTCCCATGCAAACTCCAATCAAGCTTTTGCGGGGCGTATCACCTAAAATTTCAGGGAAAATGTACTTCTAGAAACGTTTTGAGAGGGGAAAGACAGGCATCTCGTATGCAAATTTTAGATCTCTACCGGTTTAGGAAATTGAATGCTTTATCCACTTTTGAATTTCATTACCAAAATCATATTGGGAATTCCTCATGAACATCACGACTGCTGGGTCAAGGTGTCGCGAGCATACACTGTGTATTCCGCCATCCAAACACCTGGTAGTGATCTTCACACCTCCCTTTATGTTGCGATCCCTTCAGGGGATTGTATTAACGATCATGAAGAGTAAAGGGTGAGAAATTGCGAATACAGTCCCATTAGAAGTGGTTCAGTGGAGGGCCTCGACAATATATAAAGTTCAGTTCAGCATCGTGGACAGTCTCTCATCACACACACAGTCACTCCTTCATTCCTTGGCAATTGTCTTTGTTTTCTTTGGTTTCATTTGATCATTTGGTAGTACCATGTTTCCCAAAAGATCTTTGAGCCTTGTCGCTCTTTTCAGTCTTACGGCTTCTGCATTGTGAGTGCCGGAATCTCCATAAGTATACTCTGGCGGCTGACTAACACGTTTGCAGCAAGTCGCAACATACACATCAACATCTTCACCAACGTGCCGCGAACGCCACATCGAGTTCCGCGAACATAACTCTTGATCCCTATGAGTATGTTGTCGTAGGAAGTGGGCCGGGAGGTGCTCCTGTAGCCGCCAGACTTGCTCTAGCAGGTCACTCAGTCTTGCTTATTGATGCTGGAGAGGACCATGGAGATGATATTGAGATGCAAGTTCCTGCATTGCATGTTTTGGCTTCAGAGTACGATCCAATTCGATGGGATTTCTTTGTTCAACATTACGCAAATGAGACCAGACAAGCAAGAGACTCGAAGATGACGTACCAGACGGCTGACGGAGACTTCTATGTTGGTCTTGACCCTCCTGAAGGTAATTGAGTTTCCTCTTGTCGAGTTCAAGTCGGGATTTTCTGGACCTTGCTAATCAACATCCTAGGCGCAACTCCTTTGGGAATTCTTTACCCAAGAACCGGAACTCTTGGTGGATGTGCTGAGCACAATGCTTTGATCACCATCTTGCCCCAAGAAACCGACTGGCAATACATCCAAAACATAACCGGCGATGATTCCTGGGAACCATCAAAGATGCGCGAATACTACAAAAAGCTCGAATCGTGTCACTACGTCAGCACAGATGTCACAGGCCATGGTTTCGACGGTTGGTTGCAGACCGAAGTTACCAATCCAGAACTCATTTGTCAAGATCAAAAGGTTCTTTCGCTCGTCATTGCCGCAGCTACAACTATGGGCAAGGGTCTTCTTGGAAGCTTGATCACCACAGTCACTGGATTGGCTGAAGTTCTCGCCCTGGATATCAACAATGATTCGCCAAATCGTGATCACGTCGATGCTTTGTACCAAGTTCCTCTCGCTATGAAGTTCCCAGAATACTCTCGTTCTTCTCCTCGAGACTTTGTTTGGAGCGTTGCAAATGCTACTAACTCGGATGGATCCAAGAAATACAAGTTAGACGTGCAACTCAACACTCTTGTTACCAAGGTTCAATTCAACACTACTGCTGCTAAACCAAGAGCCACCGGAGTTGAATTCATTGTTGGAAAATCTCTCTACCGTGCTGATCCCCGAAGCAAAAATGTAGACGATTCGGACGGCACCTACGGAAGTGTTACCGCCACCAAAGAAGTCATCGTCTCAGGTGGTACATTCAATACACCTCAAATCCTCAAATTATCCGGTGTTGGTCCCAAGGCTGAGCTCGAGAAATTCGGCATTCCAGTTATTGTTGATTTACCCGGTGTAGGCACCAACATGCAAGATCGTTACGAAGTTGGTATTGTCGGAAACTCGACATCCGACTTCTCCTTACTCAAAGATTGTACTTTCCTCAACGGCACTGATCCCTGTCTCGAACAATGGGAGACTCTTCCTTTGCTCAAGGGTGGATACTCTACCAACGGTATCGCTCTCGCATACCCTAAACATTCCTCCGTTGCAGACGGAGTCCAAGATCTCTACCTCGGCGGCGTTCCCGCTTACTTCAACGGATACTTCCCCGGCTACTCCGTACACGCGCTCGAAAAGCGCAATATCTGGACTTGGTTGACCCTCAAAGCGCATTCGCGCAACAACGCCGGAACCGTCAATTTGAGATCTGCCGATCCCCGTGATACCCCCGAAATCGTATTCAACTATTTCGACACCGGTGTTGGTGGTGACGAGGATCTCCAAGCTGTGTATGAGGGAATGAAATTCGGAATTAAAGCATTTGAGAACCTCATTCCGCTCGATGGCTCCTTTACCCGTATCTGGCCAGATGAGAGCATTACTTCTGAGGAAGATCTTAAGCAATTTGCGCTCGATGAGGCTTGGGGACATCATGCATCGTGTTCTTGCCCTATTGGCGCTGATGATGATGAAATGGCCGTTTTGGATACCAACTTCAAGGTCAGAGGTGTCGATGGATTGAGAGTTGTTGATGCCAGTGTCTTCCCAAAGATTCCGGGCATGTACATTGCACTATCGATCTACATGATCAGTGAGAAGGCTGCGGATGTAATCCTTGCCGAAGCTAGCTCTTGAGATGATACTCGAGCAGGACTGAGGGTGTAATCTGATAGTAATGTATAATTTTGTAATTTGCAAAGATTTTAGTGGAACCACTGTATATAGAAATAAAACGCATATATCTTCTCATTCTTGACGCCTCTTCACAATATGGATTGATCTTGACTTGATCTCTGAGTTCTTGAGAAAAGCTGCTCAAAGAATTCATAGATAAATATCATTGCACATGTATGAAGCCTTTGTGGTTCAAGTATTCATTCACATGTTTCTGCAAAAGTGCTTGGCTTTCGAGTAAGCTGTTTGCATGACTTCATGCATACCTACTACTCCCTACAAAATTGAAACAGAGTAACAATTCAGCTAAAGCACTAAGATGAAGTCTGCCACGACCTCTCCTTGATTGTTGTATCCACATACTGAAAGCCCGACGAATAACATTCGACATCCAACACTCCTCGAGTGACTGATGGTCCAGCCCCAAAGGATAGATTTATCCAGCGATCAGGTTCGAAGTCGTTTTACCATCTCTCAGGACGCCGTATTTCAGCATCCTCTCCCCACAAATTCTTACGTCGAGCCATTGACGCAAACCAGAGTACAACCATTCCTTGCATGAAAAGAAAGACCTCAACTGGACGAGAAAAAATCGCTGCATCCAATTATTTGTATGATACAGTACGATAAAAGGAAAGGTTCATTATTTGAATTATCAAAGAAGATAGGTACCACAAGAAGTACTATCTATCGTGGTGGGATTCAAGGTTGCCCACCTCACTCTCGAAGCTACGGCCAACATTATATTCACTGGTTCAAACCAGCAAGCATCTTGCATCGTCGAGATTCAATCTGAACCTTTAGCAATCCCCATTTTCCATCTCATCAGCTACAAACCCATTATCTTAACTCCTCCAAGACTTCTGTATCTCTCGTTCACTACTCACGCTCAAGCGTTCCTGAAGTTGCAGTCCTATCAACCAATTCCTAGCACTCACTGACCTTATGGTCCATCAGTCGTTGAAATATGTAACCTACACGAGCAGTTCCTTGATCATAAATCCCAATACATACAATACATATCGCTCCTCAACACCATCCAACCCAGCTTTACAAATTTCCACCGACAGCGATCTGATAATCCCCTCTGCAACCAATCCCACTCTCAGCTTGAAAGATGTCCTCTCAAACCCACAATCCTTCTCCATCACCGGAATCCGCATTGCAAATTTCCGAAAGCTTTCTCGGCCAACAGTATATACAAGATATTCCTCACATTGACATCTTTCCGAGCAAAAGTTTCTGCAAGCAAAAGGGCCGCAAGATAGGAATCTAACCCCGTATTACCTACTTGACAATAATTCTACGCAGATTTCGCAACTTGGCATCGAACAAACATTGAAGATTATCGTTTACATAAGATCTGATTGTTTGTCCACAGTCGGGTTTGGTGATCAAGAACTTCATCGGCGCTGAGACTTTCAACGGGATCGATGGGTTTCAGGCTAGTAGTAGATAGAGCGGTCATTCCGAAGCTTCTCTTGATAGCTTTTTTATTTCTTTTTTAAGATGAGGCATATCCATTAATATCTTACAGCTTGGCAAATAAAATGGCAAGCGTTGATTTTGTAGTACTCTCGCCATAAATGAGTAAAGTCCCCTACAAGAGAACTTTCTATGGCGACAATGAGAACCCAAGTGATTGGCAAAGAAAACTGCTCAGTGCTAATAATTCCACACCAAGGGCTGCTGCTTTTTCAAAATCGATTTCTTCCAGAATCCGCGCACATAAACCGTATTTCTAGTCGTAAAACTCCGTAGAAGCTCTATCTGCTAAGTTGCTCTAAGGTTCCTCAGTGAGAATACTGCCATGTTTTTTAGAGTATATACATTGTTACCACCGTAACATAAACCATATATTTGATCTCCGATCAAGATGTTACTATTGCAAGCCTTGCCTCCTGCATCAACAATAGCCGAGTAATCGCACCCTTTGTATAATATCAAAGCATTGCGCAAAATATGAAGAGTGTCAGATGAGTTACTAGGTTCGCCTGCTTGTGTTGTGGACGATGTCTCCTAACGTGTCACCAATCAGCTATGGGTATTAGCAAACCCCATCCAATTTCAATCTTGGGATCGAGTAGTACTCCAACTCTGAACAAATGCCATAGCTTTAACCCAAAGATAATCAGGTCGGAATAGAGACCCATCAACACGAACGCCCTTTAGTTTGCCCGGTTTCTGAATGGCTACAGCGTTCATCTTGCATATATCGTGGAATGAGAAAATCTAAGACTGATCTGTCGAGAATGCTGTATTGTATCTACGAGAGCACGCAAATAATGTGAGAAGAGGTGCTTTTGTCAGACAAGCCGAGAGTTCAAATGGATATGATGATCAATCGATAATTGGATTTGTGTATGGTACGACGTATCCGTGCGATCTCCCGAACACTAGAAACAAGATACCTTGGGGTTAGGAAATCGATAATAACATCAGATGTTCACATCCTGCAACAAATTTCCAAGGCGTGATCTCATATATCGTCTGGGGCTGCCTCTTTCAAGCCCTACAAACCAATCCAAGGTCCGGAGTAATAAATAGTCGGACCAGCTCGATAGTTTCCCCATTCAACGAACCATGCCACTACAGCTTTTCGCGTCATAGTACCTCGAGCACACAACACTCATCTAATCGTATCCAAATTCGACTCGACTCGACTCCATGCTCTAAGCAAAACATCTGCAGTCTATATTCCCGACTTCGCCTTATCATCCATTCCCACGTATCATTATTCAAAACAATAAATAACCCTCAGTATCTCGTCTCGACCGACCCAGACAATCACGAAAGATTTCACGTTCCCAAACACGACATAAGATAGGTACCCAAGCCAAGTAAACCAAAGAAGCGAGCACAAAACTTGGATCTCCCTCGCAAAAACACATTAAAATTTGTAATCCGCCAGGTGATTGAACGCCACTCACCTTCAAAAGCAGCACGAATACCACTCAACCGATTCGACAAACAATATTCTCACCACCCAGCTCCTCTCTCTGCAATTACTCAAACTATTAAAGAAAGAAAGAAAAAGCAGACTAACCTAAGCCATTTCCCTCCCTCCCATCTATCTCCATTCCCACCTCTCAGACTATACTCCCAAATCTACCATTCAAACATTAAACACCACTACCATTCGAACCCCATAAACCCACCCATACAGACCAGTACATCTCCAAACTGACAATTTAGCGCTATAAGAAGAGAAGAGAAGGCATTTGTACTTTCTCCCACAACACCAGACGATAGTTGAAGTTACTGTATTATATACAAGTGGGTTTACCTAGTGCGTCATTGATAGGAGAATATTTATTTACCGAGAAACTCGTCATTCCTGGCTCTGCAATCACTGCAAATCGGATGCGAAAATACACTCGCCATCCCAACCAATGGGCGATGGTAGGTAATTCCTGCTCCTATTTCCGTCAACCGAGCAATTCGACTTGTTTGATTGGCGCTTGCCAGATATTGAGGATAATCTTGAATGGACGCAATTTACGTGAGACATGTTTGTTTGTCATTCTAATGATACAAGAACCGGAGTATATACAAAATTACTCGACCCCTTCTCCAAACACCCCCCTTTTTAATTATCCCCTTCTATCATCCAGAAATCACTCAGCGCGCCATCCAATGCCCATACAAACACCAGAAAGATTCGGTAGCGAAACCCTCCATTTTTAGATCTTATTTCTACCATTCACTTTTGGTTCAGACTGTGCCGACTCGTTTTTTGCATCCGCTTCCTTCTCAGCCTGCTCGGCCTGATTCTTCTCTTCTCTTTCCTTGGCATCTGCAAATGCTACTTTTCCAGCACTCTTCATCTCCCTAGAGATTTTATCCTTGTTTTCTTTACCCGAGGATGTTTTGCTCGAGGAGTGGTTTCTTTCTTCCGCTGCTCTCTTGCGTTCATTAATGCGGCGCTCTTCAGCTTCTACCATATCTATGTATATCGATTAGTATCGATTTACATTTTGGTCAAGGCACTCTGAAAATGATTGGAACATACCACGCCATAAATCCTCTCCTTCATAAGCTTCGTGGTGAATCTTCTTTTGAATCAAATGTTTATGTTCCGGATCGTTGGGATCCAACACCGTAACCGTTTCCCACCTTCCTGTTCCTTTCTTTGCATCTCCCATCTCGAATGCCGCTGATGCAACCAATACAGCCAATGTCAACCCTTGCGCATAGACTCTTGCTTGTACCAACTTCTGGGCTCCAGTCAAATATTTGTTTTTCGAAACCATCCCAAAGGCGATTCCCATACTGGCCACCCACGATGCGGTAACGATTGAGTAACGGTTTTCTTTTCCCCATGCCTTGAGACGCTGCGCAGTAGTTTCATTCGCTTTTTCCTGTTCGAGAAGGAGCGTCGATTTGTCTTTGTAATTTCGCGAGGGGTCGCGATTCCATTCGTATGAGCGAGATGCGCGATCCGCGCTGATGATGGCGGCGAAAGTACCGGATGATGAGACGAGGAAACTTTTCATGGGAATGGTGAGACTGCGAATGGTGTGGAATCGTCTGTTGGCCACATAGAGTGCGGCGCCACCCTGAGAGATTCGGTCAGTTTTGTTTGAGTGAGATTTGGAGAATACGATTGAATATGTACCATTGCGAGACCAACGAAACCTCCTGTAATACCACCCTTTAAAGTGGCATTGTAGTGCTCAGCCTCTTCTTCCTTGGTAAGAATCTTCATATTTTATATGTGGTAGATTTGGCGGGGTTGATGAAATTCTCTTGTGGCAAGCTATTTCCTCGTAGGTTGGAGATCGAATTGAGGGGTAATATGGAGAATGATTCTTGCAAGAAGCTTTGGAAAGGTAAATTGATGGTTGTTCTTGAATATACTGCTTGTTGATGATTTTATATTTGCAGTTGCTTGTGTTTTGTAGTAACTTTGAATCGATCGTACGTTTCGTTTTCGTGAAAATGGGTCGTTAATAAGCTGTCAGTCGATGATGTCGTTCAAAAGTCTTTCTTTAAAGAAGTGGGGAGGGGGTTAGAATCAAATCCCGAGAAAATGTTAGTATGATGTAGAGATGTGATATTGATATTGATATTAATGTTGATTTATTATGTTCACAAAGGAATTGATTCTTCTTCTTCTTTTATATAGTCGGTAGGTACCTCTGGTATATTTGTTAACTTTCTCATACCGTTTTCCATTTTCAAAGCCCGAGAAATTTTATATTCGGAAAATGGTGGTATGATGCAGTGTGGCAGTTTGGCAGTTTGTAAGCTCCTTGCGACATATGATGTAAATTTTTACATCGTAAGTTAACCTTATGTATAATGTGATGGGATCCCGAATCACGATTCCCGAGATAATTCCCTTCGTCGTCACGTGCAAACAAATATCCTGATTCTGATTTTGAGTTTGATACTGGAGTGGAATGAAATGATATATATGTACCGGTGGTATATAAGATCTCAGTCGTGATGCAATACGGAATGATTTTTGAGAAGGAAAGAAGACGAGAAGCATTTCTATGCAGATCCGATCCGTCCTACTGTACCTAGACGTGAACCATGAAAGTACCGAGTGGAATGGGTTGATCATTGGCCATAGAACATACATGTCCGTCGGTCTTTTCTAAGATCTTCATTCCCATGAGATAGATGTGCAGCAGCGGACGTTTTGCCCCGATAATAACGAACATAAAGTTCGGCGTTTGGCTTTTGGCTTTGGCATTAGCTTGGACTTTGTCTATCTTTAAACTTCTTCAACCTCTGCTACCCCTCCATTAGAGCATTCCTTAAACCACTGGGTACCTGGGTATTGGAACCATCTCACCTCAGCTATCGATACCAAGAACTATCATCACGTGCTAGATTTGGCGTACGTACGATACGATGTCTCGAGGATGTGTACTCTGTGATAGGTAGGGACTTGCGAGTCAGCCTCCTAATCAAATCTAAAAAGTCAACCTAGTAGAGCCGATAATTTTAACCTTCATCCAAGCTGTCAAACAACGATTATGATACATAGATCTCTCAAAAGAGAAATAATTCGGATCGGATTGAATTTCATCCCCCGCATCTTACGACTACTTGTCGTCTTCCCGTCCTGTTAATCAGATATAGACACTGATTGGCGTAAAGGATACAGAGTAAGATATTGAGTTTGCTCTCTGACATCATGGATCCAGAGGCATACTCTCTGTACATTGAATCTTGATGTCTTCTTGCTGATTCAACTTCTGACCGCTTGCCGTTCATAACTTTACCTGCCGAACTCTAGGCGTTTGGCGTTACAGTTCTGCTCTAGCAATGGATACGATTCGTGTACAAGCAGTTAGGATCATGGCTGTAATATACAATCCACAACTTCGTACGTCGAACACGTCCACAAGTTATTCGGATGACAGGGTTTTTGCCTCTTGAATTGGTTATTAGATGCTTTACTCCGTACGGGTAATAATTCGAGTTATCAAGCTGCATATTTGATATATTAAATATTGCCTCCGAACTTATTGACACAGCGATTTCCTGGCGAATGATAGTCGCCATGACATCGAAATGAGCAAGAGTGAGCTATACGGATCCATAGCTTATGGTATGTCCACATTGAAGCATTTAACGCTCTTGGATTGACCGCGATACTCAGTAATGATTGACAGTCTTCAAACAACTACTTGATATTCTAAACCCCATCTCCATCAGGGACCGAGGTTGCACGACTCGAGGGCAATTTAAATGAGCCAAGGTGGTAGAGAAATCTGTCAAGATCCATTAACGAGACGTCTCAGGGAAGGGAAGAAAGCATAGAACATTCTATATTAATCTTTCCAAGGTCGAGACCTTTCCTTCGAATCCAACACACTGTCGCTTCTCTGAATTGTCATGTTCCGTTCGAACGGAACCGTCGCCGCACAACGTCGGCAGATTTGGCGGGGCTCACCGCTTGGATTTGGCGAACGAGAAAAAGGAGAGCTGTTTTGGTTTCATCTCACCGTATATTTATCATATGATCTATCATGTTGAAGGATTCCGGTAGTATAGTAAACGCATCCGAAGCATGATGTAGACTGCAAAGGAAAGATATACTCAATCTTGTCTCATACATCAAGCAGGTCACAAATAAGGTCGATACATCTCCACATCTACAGATACACATCATCAACGATAGAATCCTTCAAGCTTCTAGAAAGATTAACTGCGGAGCCCTTTTTGCATCTCATCCAAAGCGTTGGGACTGAACCCATTAGAGAGACCTTGGAGCCTTGAGCCTTGTAAACATTTTGACAAAATGCTTGACCACAAGCCAACCACAAGCCAACCACCCGGTCTTTGATAATCCGAACGAAACATCCATCACTTCAAACTTTAATTTCATAATTCTAGTAACAAGCTTGAACCCTCCTGTAATGTTCATTACCCTGATTTCAGACGGTGACCAGCTCCAGTCGAGAAGTAGTTAAATACAGTCCATGGGCCCCCATGGGAAAACGTACATTACATTATTTTATCAACGGTACTTTCGCATGCACTAATCGTATTGATCTATATTACTCCCTTGCCTGCAGCAAGAATAATTCAAGTTCTCCATCAATTACCGTGTATTTTTCCCATATCCTATTCACTATTCGCGCCACGATACAACCCTCCTTTATCTGGTGTGTGTCAAGTTCACCCCCGGCTTCAAATTGTTCGCTACCACTCCATCCGGACCAGAACGTCTTGTAAATATTGGTCCCAACGGAAATCACAGTATCAGAAGTGACATACTTGCTTACTCCCCTCCATTGAATACACCTTGCAACGTTCGATTCGCTTTCTGGCAAACGGAAACCTCTTACACCTTTAGTTACGACTACACGACCACACCTAATTTTAGTTCACGCGAGTGTCTAACTAGCTGACACAAGCACGTTTACTATTCACATCGGCCTCTCGCAGAGTACGTTCGCCTGTTGTACCAACCTGCTACATATATATTCGATTTGTCAATTCGTCTATCGAGGACCAAGGTAGTCAGTAGACGAGTTCGTGAGAACTACCAGGTAGAAGTCGACTAAAGCCCAATTAGGTAGGTTGTTTTCGACACAAAATTGCCGGATTATATTTGGTTTCTCAGCTTGTACGTATTGGTACCTAGTACATGCTCAAGAGGCCTTCTTTACATGAATGGAACCAAGTACATATTTGCAACCCATGTTTCCTCCGACAGCCCACATCCCATCTCTCTTTCTTTCCCAACTCTCCTCTCCACTTAATCCACCCTGCCCCCTCGCCCGACCCTCTTGTTGTTTGTTCCCAGTCAGTCCTGGTACAAGTGGCATGCACCGTCCGCACCAAGGACAAGAATTCATTACTGTTAAATGTGCTTTAGTGGCTTTCTTAGTTTTACTTCCTTTCCACAATTTTTCAATTAGACGCTAATTCGAGAATCCCAGTAGCGGAGATCAGATCCACTTTTAATATCTCTATGCCTCTCTCTGATTGGTTCGAACAATCCCACGCCGCCTCATGCGAAGAAACCCACACGGACTCGATACTTATCGATTCGACTGCTACCAATAAATTCGAGCACCAAGGCAACTCCAACTCTTCTACATTACATATCCAAGCACAAGAATCTTCACATTCTTCTCCAGATTCACACAATACTGCTTCATTCCCTCCGACTCCAGAGGATTGCGATTATAACTATAATTTGAAATCTAACATGACGACAACCTCTTCACCCATAAATATTGCCACGCCCACCAGAAATACATCGTCATCTCCGTCATCCCAAGGCAACAAAAATAATTCCAATTATCTCGACCCGGACTCACAAACCTCCGCCAGAATCATGACGACCGGCACAGGATTCGACGATAACATGGGTCGATCCAGACAAGAATCATTTGCTGCTGCAAAACCCATATCTATGCACAATCCTAATAGAATTAATGATCGTCCTCGTCGCGAAAGTTTGGCAGGTAGCCTCGTTGGAGGTATGAGCTGGGGAGGCGTATCTGTTGGAAGTTGGATTCGAGATGAGTGAGTTTGATCCGATCTTCTTCCCTTTGCCATTGTGTGGCTTCAATTATTTCGTGATTCATAGAATTAGATTCTTCAGTCATCGCAATGGCCAAACGAAAATGTTCCATCTTCCCTAGCAAGTGCGGGGCACACGATTTCCATTTCCATTTTCATGACACTGACAATTTTTGATTAGTATTATCATGGCCGGCACCTCCCCATTTCCATATCAATCACCTTCATATCATTCTTCTTCATATCTTCCCAAGCTCGAAGCCAACTTTATGAAAGATTTCAGCTGTTGTGGCAATACATTACCAACACTACATGACCTTTTGCAACATTACGAAGAGTGTCATGCGCAACAGACCCCAGCATCCCTTCGCAATAATTCATCCATTGTACGAGCTCGGGAAAACTCAACACCCAACGGTAGAGCAGGTATTGCAGCACAACACACATCCGCCGCACAACATCATACTCAGCAGCAACAAACCCAGCCATCACAACAGCCTCGGCTTTCGGGCTTACAGATGCCACAAGCCGGAGCCAGTGTAGGAGGTATTCAATTGATGCGACAACAGCAACGCTCACAACCAGCTACTCCTGTACAAAAAACTAATCAAGGTGCTACTGATGAGATGGACGGAGTTGAAGATATGGAAATGGACGATGCTATCGGACCTATGGATTCCACCCCGGATACACCGGTTCAATCTTCACATAATCATCAGCCTGTGCAAGCAGCACAACAGTCTATGTTCGGCCAACAACCAAGACCCACCGTTAATCTTAACTCCACCATGCAACACTCTGGTCTCCGAGCATCCCAACCACCGACTCCCGCAACTTCCTCTTTTGGATTCCAAAATAACCCAACCGTTTCTTCTGTTAATACCCCTACTTTGACAGCACAACCCATGCAGCAATCACAGACATTTTCACCAGATACCTCGGCTCCCGGTACCCCATCGGAAATGGATGGAGATTTTACAAGCATGCCTATGAATATGAATATGGGGAATAGAAATATGAATATGAATAATATGAATTTCCCTTTCAATTTCGGCGGACATGATTTAGGCTTGGACCTTTGTATCGATGAACCCGCCAAGCGTCTCTATAGTCCCAATGGTGGTGGTTTCAACAACCAAAGAGCCCTTCAACAACAATTTGCTCAATTTGGGCTAGGACA